GGGCACAGTAATTTACTGATTGTCCCAGCCAGCCCAACTGCATATCTTGCCAAACGTGTTACCTATGCTGGGACCATCTTATGGAACCAGCTCCCCGCTGCGGTCAGGCAAGAAAGAAAACGCAATCGCTTTAAGTCAATGGCTCTTGCCTTTTTGCTTACCAGATAAATAAGCCTTTTTACAAATGCTGTATGCACTGCTCTTTACGTTATTTTCTCCCTATGCAAGTCGCAACTCCTGTTTTGAGTTGTTTTTCTTCTCTCTTTTTCTTTCCCTACTAGTTGCTGTTACACTCACTGATACTTATGCACAGATATACAGCATTCCCTCACTAGTGGGACCATTGTTATTAGGCTAGGGCCTGTTTTGGACTTCCCACTCTAAATAAAGTTTACAAACAAACAAAACAAACAAAGCTGGCTGACGCGTTTGCGCGCGCAGTCAGACCTGAGCCGGACTGCTCCACCGCTAGGAGGTGCTCCAGTAACAGTACACGCCGTCCAGCATCGTGTGTCGTCTGGCAAACCTACGTCCTCTGAACGTGGTTCCACCTCTACCGCCTGAGGATACATGCAATAAGTGCAACAAGCGCGGGCACTACGGCGCTGTCTGCCGCTCATCTCGCCAAGCCCGTGCGCTATCGGCCGAGTCTTCGCCGGGCACCGATGCCGTCGCTTCTCCCAGCTCCGTGTCTGAGGAATCTATTGATCTGGTCCCCATCTACGTTGGTGCCGTATCCGCGCACCCTCCCAGCTGGCAGGTTCAGCTCACCATCAATGGCACCACCGTTCCATTCAAAGTCGACACCGGTGCCGATGTGTCCGTCATCTCCGAGGAGGTCTACAACTCCCTTAGCACATCCCCGCAGCTCCAGCCTTGCCGGCACGTTCTCGTCAGTGCAGCCAACACAAAACCTCGAGACATTGGGCATCTTCTCCGCGCGGCTCGTCTTTCCCACCTCTGGTTCTTCACACACTTGCACCGTGTACGTTGCCAGAGGCCTGCGCGTATGTCTCCTAGGGGGCCCTGACTACGTCGCTCTTGGTCTAATCAAACGTTTGTTCTCCAGCGACACCGCGTCCGCTACACCACTTTCGATCGCTCCGGAGCCCAGTCAATCCACGGACGATGCGCCGGGTAGCTACTCCTCAGCTCCCGCCGGGTCAGAACCTCTGCCTCTGACGACACCTAGCAACGCTATCCCACAAGACATACGGCAGGAATTTCCGTCACTCTTCTCTGGTCTTGGGTCACTCAACGAGCCGTACAACATCGAGCTCTCACCTGATGCCAAGCCGTCGTGTCTCTACGCTGCGCGAAACATCGCACTGCCGCTCCGCTCTAAAGTGGCTACCGAGCTTCAGCGCATGCACCAGCTTGGTGTAATCCGCCCTGTCGTGGAGCCCACTGACTGGTGTGCTGCAACTGTGGCCGCACCTAAGTCCAACGGCACGGTACGCATCTGTGCTGATCTGAAACCTCTGAACGAAGCTGTCCGACGGTCACACCATCAGCCGCCAACAGTAGACGAAACTCTTGGCCAAATCGGCCATCTCAACGGTGTTCACGATGCTCGATGCCAACAGCGGGTTTTGGCAGATCCCGCTGGACAGTCCCTACCAGCTTCTAACCACCTTCATCACCCCCGCTGGTCGGTTTTGTTACACGAAGTTGCCATTCGGCATTTCCTCTGCGCCTGAGATATTCCAGCAGCGCATGTCGAAGATCCTTGCTGGCCTGGATGGCGTGGTTTGCCAAATGGACGACATCCTCGTCCATGGCCGCACTTGTGCCGAGCATGATAGTCGTCTCTACGCGGTGCTCCGACGCCTGATGGATGCAGGGCTCACCCTCAATCCGTCGAAGTGTGAGTTCGCCGCCTCTGACCTGTCCTTCTTGGGAGTGCGGCTCACTTCTGCCGTCATTCAACCAGGTGACAGCAAGACCTCTGCTATCCAGTGCTTCCGTCAGCCTCAAACCGTCTCAGACGTCCGCAGGTTCATGGATCTGGCGAACCAACTGGGAAAGTTCTCTCCCAATCTCGCCACCCTCAGCCAGCCACTGCGAGAGCTGGTGTCTAAAGGTCGCGCATGGACTTGGGATCAACCATAGCAGGCAGTCTTCGACAACATCAAGGCAGAGCTCTGCAAGCCAGCCTGTCTGCAGCGCTGCGACCCCAACTACGACACCAAACTATCTGCCGACGCCTCGTCCTATGGCCTCGGCGCAGTGCTCTACCAGCGCCGGTCCTCAGTTGTTGAGTGGCGTCCCGTCGCTTGCGCATCCCGGTCTCTCACATCGGCCGAGCGCAACTATGCCCAAATCGAAAAGGAAGCTCTCGCGATCACTTGGGCTGTTTCCCGCTTTGACACTTACCTGCTTGGCATGGCGTGCTTCCTCATCGAGACGGATCATAAGCCTCTCGTACCTCTTCTCAGCACGAAGCGCCTACACGATCTCCCAGCGAGAGTCCTGTGCTTCCGACTCCGCCTGGCACAATATCACTACCAGATCATTCACGTTCCAGGGAGCTACCTCACCAGCGCCGACGCTCTCTCATGCGCCCCTCAAGACGACTCCCCAAGTCGGGATGACATCACCATTCAGGCTGAGTGCGACGTGTTCGCTACTATCGCAGTCGAGAATCTAGCCGATCAGACCGTCCCGACGCAGCAGGTTAGAGACGCCCAGCAACAGGACGCTACATGTCAGCAACTGCGAACCCTCATCCTCGACGGCTGGCCCGCCGCTATCCGCGATGTACCGCAGCCCCTCCGTGAGTTCTGGCCTGTCCGCTCTGACCTCGTCCTGCTCGATGGCCTGATTATGAAAGGCTCCGGGATCTATATTCTCCAGTGCTTAGTGGCCGATACTCTTCAGCGTCTTCACGCCGGTCACCAGGGCGTCACCCGTACAACCCAACACGCCACAGTGTCAGTCTGGTTTCCTGGCATCACCGCACGCATTAAGGCTCTCGTGCAAGATTGTATCACTTGCAAGGCCTTCCGCCCGCCGCCGGTCGAGCCACTGCTCGCTCACCCCACACCGCCTCGCGCGTGGCACACCATTGGCGTGGACCTCTGCCAGCTCGACCGCGTTCAGTACCTGGTGGTGGTGGACTATTATTCCCGCTATCCAGAAATTGCGTCCCTCACTTCCACGACATCAGCACGGATCATCGACCATCTCCACTCCATCTTCGCCCGACATGGCATTCCAGCAGTCCTTCGATCGGACAACGGTCCCCAGTTCTCGTCCGCTGAGTTTGCCCGGTTTTCAACCAGGGCCGGCTTCCATCACATCACGAGTAGCCCTCACTACGCACAGTCAAACGGCGAGGTTGAGTGTGCCGTCCGCACCGTGAAGGCGTTCCTGAAGAAGTCCGCCTCAGCAGCTGACTTGCATGATGCCTTGCTGGCATATCGGTCGACACCCCTCAGTTTCCCGCCGTACAGCCCGGCGGAGCTACTCATGGGTCGCCGCCTCGCAACGCCGGTTCCATCACAGTCAGCCCAGCTCCAGCCCAGCTCAGTGGACACGGATGCCTTCCGTGCAGCGGACACAGCGCAACGCCAGAAGTCCTGAGCTCAGTACGACCTGCGGCACAGAGCGACTATCCTGCCCGCTCTCCCCTCAGGCGCGGCCGTGATCGATGTCTCGACTCCAGGTCGCCGGGAGAGGGGTACAGTGGTAGCAAGATCAGCTGAACCCCGATCCTATATAATCCAGTTGTCATCCGGACAAGTACGACGAACCCGGCATCACCTGATCGCTATCTGACTCTCTCTCTCTTCCTGTCACTTTCTCACTGTGTGTTCGAGCACGTATGCACGTGCGTTTGTGTGTGCGTGCCGATATGTGTCTGTCTTTCTCTCGCTTTCTCTCTATTCCTATTGCTACTTCGAAGTAGTACCTTTACGCGGCTGAATAGTAGGCTTTGACTCCTCGCGCTCTGGTTGGACGATCCTGGATTAGGACGCTACTCTCAACCTCCTATTTCCGGGTCGCTCAATCATAACACATTGCAAGAGTCCTTGTTCTCTCATGTGTATTGGCCCGCCGTCTTACTCAGTATTGTTTCTACCGTTCCGCATGTTTTTCACTTTCCCATCTTTAGTTCCTCTAGTTCCCCGGAGGGGGGAGACTTAGTATGAACTCTTTTACGCACTTTACTTGTATGCATGCACATGCCGTTGCGACACGTGTTCACGCCCGCCATGTGGTCTTTACACTCCGAGCATGCGGGCCTCTCAGGTACGCATGCGAGGAACTGATCATGCTTATTCTGGTTTTCATTAGTTTGGAGTTTGTTTGCACGAAATGAAGTAGAAGCTTTTTCGGTGTGTGTAGTTCTGTTGTTGTCGGACCTGGATGGTTGCTGTGCGATACACCCAAAACAGTAGATACGTCGATTGTCTATGTTGAAGTGTTTCTCTCCCAAAAGAACACTTTTGTGGAACACGTAACTCTTTGAAAAGTCATGTCAAAAAGTCACGAAGTTATCGTTTCCAGAGGAAGAAGTAAGGTGGAACAAAATTTCGGTGCAAGTCCGTAACCTATTCCCTTGGAAAATATCTGCTCTTTTAGGCATTGAGCACTTAGTGCGCAGAGAGGACCTCTATAACATAAAGCGTGCTTTTTCGCCATCAATCTCAATGTAAAAGTAGCATAAACCTGAGACTGGAAATATACCGGTGAATAGAGTTGTATCTGAGAAGCAACCTGGAAACATTGACGGTTGCAAAGTTTGCCCAAGACCGCGTGAACTGGAACCCGGTTTGCCAGTGTTATCTTGGTCAAACACGTGAAAGTGTTTACACGTCGTGTGAGCGGCCTATTAGTTGACGTGCCTTATCAGGTTATTTCTGTCATTTTCGTAAATGTGGAAAATTTGCAAACCGAACTCCTTTGATCAGATCAAAGAGTGGCCAGAACAACTGTTGATGGATATAGCATGCTCCGAGTGGAAGCAGTTCAAATACAAGATACACAACACTTACTATTGCAAGATGGTGTGGAAGACCACTCCGCACCGGGAAGACACGTGACCATTGTGTTACCCGAAAGCTCGAAGCCGTCATTACATGTGATGTTGCGAACACTAGTCACTGTATTTGAGCTGCCTGCCAGTACTGCGTTATTAACAGTGAGCGTCGGACATTCTACCACTCCTGCCATAGCAGAATAAGTAGAAACGCCATCACATTGCGAATAACGAGCCTGGTTCAGGGCCAAGAAGGAAGTTGTTCTTTATGAGCATTCAAAGTGCAATTTGTTTGTTGCAATCTTTTTAGATATCCTCAGTGAAGTTTAAAGTTACTGGCCGACCTGTTCGCACTGACGTCTAATCAACGACAGGGCGTGTAAACAAGCTCGATGCGTCAAGGTCCGAGTGCTTTAGCTGATATAGGCACCGCGAGTTTTTCATGAATGCAGACAACGTTGACAGAAACCGGAAAGAGTGATCAACCAAGCGGATTCGTAATACTCAAAGCATTTGCGGTGTTGAGCATTGTCAGCACACTGGATACATCCTACCGTACCCCAAGCATTTAAACCCTTAATTTGTTGTAGCCTAGTGCCGCACCACCAATATTAGCAAATAGCTTTCTACTTCCTCAAAAGCTACAGCAGGGAAATGGATTGTCAAGAGGATGTGTTTCGCTATGTTGGAAACTAGCTTAGAGCCAAACAAATCTAAAATACGCTTAGTTCTGTATGGGCTCAAGTATGTCTGCTGGTATATACTGACGGTACTTGAAGACACATGAGTTGCGGTTTCATCTAGAACAGTTGAAATTATATGAGTTGTTGGTAAACCTGTGGGTCGCTATACCACCCGCACGAAACTTGTAGTCACGAAGTACAAACATCTACCAAGTTATAATTTGTGTGCAGACTGTCTCCCTCACTTGCCTCGGTTTGTTGCATCGCTGACAGTTTTCTGTCACGAAATGCACACAAAATACGGACAAACAATGAACAGCAAACGTATGATCCGCTGGCAGGTTGCTAGTGGGTTTTCACACAAAAAGTGGACTGTGACTTTAGCAAAGGAGTTAAAAAGTTCCAATGTAGATGGGCACGTTTCACATAGAGAAAATAGCACACACTTACGATTGCACACAGGAGTTGAAGACCAAGCCGCGGTGGGTAGACAGATGACCATTGAGTTTCCCGAGAGGTCAAAGTTGGCATTACATGTGATGCTGCTGATGCTGTTCACTGTATTTGAGCCCCCTGACACGATTCCATTGCTAACGCTTAACGGTGGACATTGAAGCACTCCTGTAAGGCAAGAGACCAAGACAAAGTACGGTCTCCCTTATGGATTTTGGCCCTTGATCATGCAAAATATATTGGTTTCAATTCACAGGATTTAAAACATAGTGATGTAATGATTTGTGTTTTCTCCGAACGAATATCCTCTCGAATATTGCTTTGACGAACGAATCTTCTATACCTTGGATTCAGTAGTAGGCATTTCCTAAATCGGCCCGATTTTTGCCTGAGGGCTTTTCGATCGGCAAAGAAAATGTCCAAATTTGGCCATATTATGAGCCCCAAAGTAAGAATTCGGCTCAAAGCGGTTCTTGAAGTCACCTCTCGCAGCAACCATTTGCGTTACCACACACGCTGTGGAGGCACTATAACATCCCTTTACGGGGAATTCCCCGCCGAATTTGTAAATTCGGTGCAATTATCGACGATTTCGTGGCAGCCATTGATTTCGGTGGCTTTTCCTGGTGACCGTGTTCGGAAATGCCTGAAGTCGCAATCATTTTTCGCAGATAATGGCTACAGAAATTGTATTTGCATGCTGTTGAGGTACTAAAACATCGGTTTTTGGCGAGTTGAAGAAGAAAACTGCGTATTCCACGAATAGATCTGTGATTTCTTCAAAACCACTGTTTTCGGCCAATTTTTCGGCCGGCCGATGTGGGAAATGCCTACTCAGTGGAGCGTCCAGCCCCTATATAAAGTCCTTCGGTCCAAAATCCAACGTACAGAGTCCAAACTTGGAATTACCAGTGAGCTCAAAGTTTAGATGGACATCAACCCTTGAGTCAAGCTAATTGGCTTAACCCCTTTATATTGTGCACGCAAGCGTACACAATAGTTTTACGCGCACACATACACACACACGCACACACACACACACACACACACCCACACACACACACACACACACACACACACACACAAAGTCATACAACGCCAAGAAATCACCGCAAAAAGATTAGCTCCAACAGCCATGCAAACGTCCGACCATTTTCACGTAAAGTTAAGAGGGATAACAAGTAATTATATGAAGCAAATGCATACGTGGACGAGTGCACACACGTTTACATATGTAGTGGTGTAAGAGAGTAACATAGTGCAATAGTCAGCATAATACTAGCACATGCCGAGAGTGCAATATCAAACTTCGTTATTGCTCATGACCATGCAAATGTTCAGCAGCACTCTGTTCCGCAAGCTTCTGAAGATCAGCACACCTGCAACAAATAGAAAGCACACGGATACGCTTATTACCGTAATGATGCATGGGAGCACGCAACTACTAAGTTTTCAACGAATGTGATGCTCAATGAAAATCCATCTACTCAAAGACCTGTGAACAGGTAATGGTGGTGAGAATAATCTATTAATAATACGAGGAATAAGATCGGTTGTGCACATTCAAGACGCACAGACATACATGTAGTGTACTCCACAGTGTTTACCACCACTGAAATTAAATTGAAATGAGATGATTTAAACAATCTGTACAGCGGTACTGTCAGTCAAACAGTCTTTCCCCAAATGAAAATGCAATGATTTGCTGTCAAGAGGCAATTACACTGACACAATGTCATGTTGTGACATCAAAACGGTTACTTCATGGAATACGAGTATTATCTTGAGAAGTTTTTCTTGTCATCGGCATACAAGCAATATTCCTCCTACTATTTGTACACCGGCAATGCGTTTGTGGATCTCGTTGTATTTGACATCATACGTGAGAAAGAGTGTCGTGGAGTTCACATAATTATCACAGGGATAAAAATACATTTCTCATGAAATAATATTTATAATTGATGATAGCTAGACGATCATACACGATTGATGCAAAGCCCTTGCAGTTCCTGAGAACTGATATTGTTGTCACGCAACTATTACGAAGTCGTTGATTATTTTCTGGGCATTCATTTAAGCAACATCAAACAAACGCGTACACTCCTTGAGAATGGAAAACCAATTCAAGCATAACGACAGAACAGCAGACCAATCGAAAAGATTAAAAGCTTCCTTACCTCAGTCATCGTCCGCAATGTATTTGGACAGCCTTTTGACACAGTGGTACAGGCAGCTCTTGCCCAGTCAAACAGGGTATCCCGGTGGCGTCGAACGAAAGAGAATGTCAGTGTACTGAGTCGTCAGATTGGAACTGTGCTGAACTTTCTGCTTTCATCCCGGGCACTGTTGGAACGTCTTCAGAGAAACACAAGACGCTTTCCAGATTGGATTTTGAACGTCTCCTTTTCCTCCTTGGTTACCTCGAGACAGACTACTGTCGGCAACTGCACAGCAGAACTGGCAGCCATGGCTGAAGTGAAGAAAGGAATGCGCTGCCATGAGGCAAGCAAAACTGAAAAGGTTTTGTTCTCTTTCTGGCACTACACACAGGACGACGTAGCTGGATAAACTGGACCCCTGGACCGTGAATAGGGTTTTGTAGAAAAAAGTGTGCTCCTTATAGGGGATTCCGCAGCTGGACGGAGCTGATCAATATTGAACGGACTCTTGGACTTGGTCATTGAACTGTATATAAAGTGCTGGATATCATACAGTGCATGGACTCTATTCTGAGTCCAACATACATTCTGTGCATCGATCACTGCACTCCTTCAGACTCAAGATTCATGTTGCATACAGATATCACTCCCACTGGTTACAGAGTAGATTTTTCCCAAGAACAAGCTTCCCAGTTCTCAGAACATACTTAATTTCTATACTATCATCCTAAATACTGTTCAGAAGACCAAGGTTGGAGCTAAATACCACAACCAAAAAGTGACAAGTTTTGGAATTTTCGAATATCGATCAATGCTGCCTGCATCCGAGTATTCTTTCTGGTGTTGATATTTCATAATGTGCGAATAATTCTGATATTCCTCACATCACTAAAAACATTTTTTAACCACCCGCAGACTCCATTGCAGCCTCTTACACATAGGGTACATCCACTACAATATAGGGTATCTTTGCTGCATATGTCACTAAACATAACAATTTTTTATAATTTATACTATAGCAACGTATGCAGCAGAGAGAACGTATTTTGGAATATCCTGTGTAAGGTTTAACGTAGCAGAAGGATGGGAAGTGGGTTTGAGGAGAGGTTTCGTTCACGTGTTGGTGTTGATACACCTGGGTTGGTTATTGACCCACGATACAAGAGGTTACATTGACCAGTTTAATCCGGAAGTAAAGATATGTTACCATAATCGTGTGCACACTGCCTCCTTCACTTGCTGCACACACAGTATGTTGCCATAGTGACAGCGTTCTGTCACGAAATGCATACAATGTGAGCCCCAGCCAGCAGAAACCTGAACATGTGTAATTTTTTCAAAAATTATTTTTTTGCTCGAAATTGATTCTACACTATTAATCATTCAAGTTATCAAGTTTGGTGACAATCTGATAAGCGAAAGCAAGGAAAATAGAGTTTGAAGTCACACAGGTCAAGATTCCGTACAGTTGGCACAGCATCCATGCCCAGTGACTCAATGCAAGTTGATCCTACAGTTTCTGATTGTGATGTGGAACAGGTACATGTAAGTAAATGGAATGCAAGTCAGGCTTGCCCTCTTGGTGCTGCAGGCATGAGTAGTTCAGAAGTGTGACGATATTCCGTATACATGTACACCACTACCTTCTTTACAACGCCAGAGTGCAAAACGATGATTGGTGGCTGGCCTTCCAAAATGTGTGCAGGGACCTCTGTGGTGGCAGTTTGAGCATTGTCCCAAAGCTTGCCATACTGATAGATGTACTGACCAATACCACTGACATCCACTCCCTTGCACACTTTCACTCAGACCATGATTTCAGCATAATTGTATTTCAATGATATGAGCGAATACTCGCGTTTTGTAGCACGTGAAGATGTTGCCCCAAAGCGTTCAGCCGGTTTGACTTTTTAGGGATCCCTTTTCTCAGCACAGGCAGCAGCCAGCTTGGCGTCGTCTGGTAAGGTAGAGTACTGATAATACTACGCTCTGTTTTGCGCCGTGAGAAGCCCTCCATCAGTGTCTGCAACATCATTGTTGTCGATGTAGAAATACGGATCGCTCAGCGTCGACATTCAGCTTCTCCTCGCCGTCGCTATTACTCCAGCACTCACTATCGTCGCCACCAGTATCCAGTGTCGATTTTATGAGGGCTCTTCGTTGCTATGCATATGAGACTCGCCACTGCTGGACAAACTCAGCGAGATCGCCACCAGAGAAATAATTCCGATCGCGAACTAACTTTCAGCGCCGATTCGTACAGGGAGTCTCACGCTGACAACTCTGGACCTAAGTCCTTGTCGCGACACCTGTCGCCATCGCTGTGTCGAAACTCAACCTCCCTGTGACGAGCTCTCAAGTAGCGCTGAAATCAATTGACCAGAGACATTTGAAGACACTTGAAACTCCTTTGACAACAAAGACACCCACTCGATCGAAAAAGAATCTTCAAAAGCCAGCTCACTGCGCGTCCCAAACTTTGACGTCACATTTTGATGATTGATATCAAGTACACAAGTGCTGGTTTTCGCAGGCCGGGGCTCATGTATGGAAACTCAACCAATGCCAAATTTACAACCAGCTGCCCGATTGCTCACTTCCTCAGCTACTTCAATGACTCTAAAATTGAAGCAAGTGTTATGGCTGCCAAGGTACTTCAAGTATGTTTTGGTGGTTCCACGAATCAGCTTCGAGCATCAGATCTAAAGGAAAGGCCCTAAGCGATACCACCGTCGTAGCAGCGTAGTTTTGCATTTTTTGGCAGTCGCATGTCCTAAAACATGCTACGTTTGTCCCGCTTCTTATGACCATCTTTAAAAAAAAATTCACGGTTCGCGTGAGACTCGGCTAATACCATGATTGAGAAACAGAGGGTACCAGGTTCAAGTCCTGCTTGGAAGCGGAAGGATTTTTTCCAGCCGTGCTGCGACCCACAGGTAATTGGGAACTCGTGGCCTGGCACGAGGAAAACATGGATGCAGTGAATGGGATTTTCGGTCTTTGACCACTTGCTGGTGAGCTGATCTACTCACCTCCCACCGCTTTAGGAGCTGCATCTGCGCCTTGATCCTTGAAGGGTGGTGGCGTTCCTACGGATGCGGAAAACCCGGCTTCCAGCCGAGTCTCACGCGAACCGTGAAATTTTCAATCATGGTATTAGACCATCCCACTATGCCTGCCTGACCATCTTACGGTTGTGTAAATCCCGCTAAAGTAACAGGGATCGCACACTTACTGCCTTATTGCATACATGCACGGAAGTTCATAATCATTATCCCAATCTAGCTGAGCTATTTCCAGGTTGAAAATATTTTCTGCTTGAAAATATGGTAACATGGTTATTTCGCACACACGGAAAATAGCAAATCCTTACGATTGCAAACTGGCAAGGTAGTCCACTCCTCACTAGGTAGACATGTGACCAAAGAGCTACCCGAAAGCTCGAAGTCGGAATTGCATGAGACGTTGCGAATACTGTTAACTCTCGTTGAGCCTCCTGACACGACCGCATTATTAACAATTAGCAAAGGGCATTCTGGTACTCCTGTGACACAAAAGATCAAAAGAAAATACAGCATAGTACATATTCTGCTAGTGCCAACCCTCACACCGGTAGGATAACGTGTTTGTATTTTTGCTTGGCGTAAAGTATGCAGTCACATGGGGAATGAGTTGCAACAAATTAATAGTGTTGTCCATCATCACAATACGTTCATTGACTCCCTGTGTCGTCACGAATGCTCAGTTCTTGCCCTGTATTCGTTGTCACTTCCTTGTGTGATATGCTTGTTATTCTGTTTGTTTTTTGTGTAACCCCATCATTCCCCAACCGCACTCTGCCACGTCTACGCATTCCCATCCTCTGCTCTTTTCACCACGTGCAGGAATACAACCTCAAAAACTCTTTGTACAGTTGTGTGATGACAGCCTAACCGTTACTCACGTCTACTTGTAACCCCTGGATAGTCAAACAAGAGATGTTTTTTCACCCAAATTATTTGTCAACAAAGGTGAATGAAATGTAGAATGTGGGCGAGACCTACAAAAATGAGATTCCCGGGCCCTCCCGTACCAAAATTGAGCCAACGCCACTTTTTAATTTTTAATTTATTTTTATGTACAGTTCTGATCATATTAGAAGATGGGTGACGTGCAATCACACAAAACCGGGCTTGTATGACTCCCTGATGTACAGATCAGGGCATTCGTTGGCCAAAATACAGAAATTGAACGGATAAACCGCATACCTGTTTTGTATAAAAACACTTAATAAAATTACCGGGAAATACGGTAAAAAGGTACAGCGTCGCATGCATTATATACTTAGGAAAAAAATTAATAAATTTACCCACCTGCCCCAGTTTTACACTGGTCCTGCCCGAAAATTTCGATTTTATGAAGTTCCAATGCACTTCACAGTAAATAGGCATGTGTTAGCTGCTCCCGGCTAATGATGCCCCCTCACACCGGAACACAAGGGGTTTTATATGATTGGATAATTTATAGAAGTATTCGAGAAGAGTGTAGACAAGGAGAACAGGACAACGACCACTCAAGACTAGACTACAACAGAACAGAACCTGGAGCATGCGCTCTTCTATGTGAGTGGCTCATTGCCAAGGGGAACGAGCGGGAAATACAAATAGTGAGTATTCAGGTCGTAGCATACATACACCTATTACACTGTGCCCCCCTAGCTAAAATTCACGTCCACGGGAATGAACGAAATACCTAGGAAACAAACAAAAGAAAACAAACCAAATAATAAACTCAGTCCAGGACATAGTCAGCTAGTCGAGCAGGTGCATTGCGGACACGGCCAGAACGACGAGAAACAGGAGAAGAAGTACGGACCGGATCAGACGACGGCGGCTGTAGCGGCGGAACGCAGCGCGGCAAATCATCATCAGGCAGCGGGTCAGGACTAGAAGCAGTAACGGCAGGCGGTTGACAGTCGAGAGGACGGGAAACAGCTTCAGGCGGTCGAACAAACTTGCCAGTGACAGCATCATATCTGGTGAAACACTCAGACAGAGCAGGATCAGCACACGGAGCAAGAAGACTCTGAGGCTTGAAACAATCAGGCGACGACGGTCCAGCGGCAGAGGAACCAGGAGGACGAACAAAAGCGGCCGGAGGAAGAATCTCGGCAGCCGGAGGAACATCAGCAACAAGTGGCATTTCATCAGCAGCTGACAGCGGAACATCACGGGCAAGAGGCGGCGGACTCGGCGGAGTAGACGGGGCAGCATCTTGCGGCGGCGTTGGTGCCAGTGGCGGAGACTCACTGTGCACATGTGCTTCAGGTTCGGCTATCAAGCGCGACAGACCATCAGCATTCAGATGTTGGCGACGTGGACGGTGGACGACTCGGAATTCATATTCGGATAAACAGTCAAGCCAACGTGCTTTCCGTCCTCGGGGTTCCTTCAGGTTCCGGAGTGCAGTCAACGCAGTATTGTCTGTCCTGGCAACAAATGGTCGTGCCAACAAGTAGTGCCTGAAATACTCCGCAAAATAGACCAGAGCAAGGGCCTCACGATCACTAGCATCGTAGTTGCGCTCAGCTTTCGTCAGTACACGGCTGCCGTACCCAATTGGTCGCTCAGATCCATCCTGGATCTGGCTGAGGACTGCACCAATCGACACATTGCTCGCATCGGTGTCCAGAATGAATGCACCTGCTGAATCTTCAAACTGGGGGTACGCCATCACCGGCGCACTGGAAAGCGAACGCTTCAGAGCCTGGAACGCCGCTTCGCAAGCTTTCGACCACGCAAAGCGAGCATTCTTGCCTGTCAGAGCAGTCAGCGGAGCAGCACGCTGGGCGAACGCACGGATGAAGCGGCGATAATATCCAGCGAAGCCAAGGAACTCGCGGACAGCTGTGACAGATTTCGGAGTCTTCCAGTTCCTGACCGCAATGAGTTTGGCCTCATCCGGGGAGATGCCCTCCGCTGACACGCGGTGTCCTAAGAAAGTGACCTCCTCCTGGAAGAAGGAGCATTTCTTCAGATTGAACCGCAGTCCAGCGGACCGAACTGGCGCGAACACGGGCAGCAGAATCTGGAGTTGACCAGACAGCGTTTCGCTGGCATTCAGGACATCATCAAAGAACACACGGCAGAATGGCTGAGCCGGTGTGTTACATAAGCCACTCAGGACTGCTTCCATTCCGCGCTGAAATGTCGCTGGGCCATTCCTGCAGCCCATCGGCAGAACATTAAACTCAAACAAGCCAAGTGGCGTGGTAAATGCCGTCTTAGCCTTGTCGCTTCCTTCCATTGCTATTTGCCAGTACCCTGACGCTAAGTCAAGGGACGTGAAATACCGACAGCCAGACAGGGAATCAAGCATGTCATCCGCCCGGGGAATTGGGTAAGCATCAGGCTCGGTGACAGAGTTCAACTTCCTGTAGTCGATACAGAGTCGAAGAGAGCCATCCTTCTTTGGCACCAATACTATGGGTGATGCCCACGGACTAATCGATTCTTGTATTATGCCTTGCTTTAACAGCGTATTCAGTAGATCTTGCAGAGCCTTCCGGCGGTGATATGGAATCCGCCTGGTAGGTTGTGTTGTTTTATAGGGTTATTTTGTCCTGTGTTAATTTTATGAGGGAATATGTCACAGTAGCCATAGTCATCATCATGCAAGATAAATAAATCGTGGTTATCATGAAGTAGTTCAGTGAGCGTGCGAGACTGTTCTGTGGAGAGATGATTTTGTGCGTTGATATATTCATCGATGACTTTCGTGCGTTGCTCAGTTAGCGGGATCGGGTGGGGTGAAACTGAGGAAACCATAGCTTCAGTGTCGTCAATATGTTCACAATCTGTAGGAATTTGATGAAGTTCGGCAACATTGGTATTTTTATGAATGAGTATAGGATGATTTGCATGATTTTCAACAGCCACAACCACACGTGTTTGGTTAGGGCCAACAGTTACAAGACTAGGAGTCACTGCCACATCTGGATGCTTCGCCATAAAGGACTCCAATGGATCTGCCACGCAATCCATCGCAACCGTGCACACATCAACAGCTGCACAAGGCACCAAGACAACATGTCCTGCAGGTACCGACAACTCCATCTCAAACACCACACGAGATGAGTATACCACAGGGTCGGCCACACTTTCGGGCGCACACGCCGGGACAACGCCAGGTTGAGCCATGGGGTGAACAACCCGTGCAGACAATGAATCGTCAAGGGCAACACGAGAAGAATACGACGAAACAGGTACATCGTCGGAGCATGCATCAGAATGAGGAGTATGAGTATTACATGAGGGGGAAGTATTACGCGGAACAATACGATCATAGGGCGTACGTGACGGAGGACACCCAGAACCAGAAACATGCAACGGAACAGACACATCGCCAAACATCACAACACCACGAGCAATATCTAATACACCACCATGCTGCAACAAAAAATCGGAACCAAGAATCATGTCACAGTGAATACCAGGAGAGACAACAACCGTGTGCTGGAAAGACAGATTTCCTAGCGACATACACAGATCCATGGATCCAACGACAGGAAGTTGTGCGCCATTGACTGCACACAACCGCGGAGCAGACTCTAGAGGAGGTCGCTCTGTCAAATTAGGCAACAATTTAGAATGCACTAACGACACACTTGAACCAGAATCAACAAGAGCAACAACAGGAGACGAAGACGAAGACGAAAGACAAACATCAACGTGCACAATAATGGGTGAGATCGCACCACATACCTCCTCGAGGGGCTCCACTCGGACGACTGACGGCGGCCCCGTGTCACCAGTCCAACCTAGTTTTTTGCGTGCGGGCAAGATGCAATGAAGTGGCCCTCTTCACCACATCCATGGCACACTCCACGCACAGGCCTTGTAGCAAAACTCTGGCCACGACCACGGCTAAGCGCACCAGCACCAGCACCACGAGCAACAAAACGTACATGGTCTTGCTGGGGTCGGGTGGGGCGATACAGACTCACGCTCTCCATTTTCGCCTCCAAAGCAGAGAGACGCGAATCAAATCTCGACAAAAGCGAAGCCAACTGGTCTCGCTCAGATTCCGACTTCAGTGGACCGACTGCTGTGTAGGGGTCACGACCATGAGCAGTGCGACCGGGCTTCACTTCCGGAGCAGCAGCAAATACGGGCTGTGCGTACTGGTGAGGTACGGTGCGGGCCTGCTCGCGAGCATAAATAGCACCTACCTCGATGGCCTTTTGGACCGCCGCATCCAAATCAGTGGGCCGAGGTGACGCCAACGCCAAGCGCAAATCCTTCGATGCCTGGCCATCAATACAAAGTTGCAAAAGCATTGAATCAAGCAGTGCACCTTGTTGTCCTGGGTAGGCTCGACGAGCGAGCCGACGAAGTTCCGTGGCATACCCGTGCTGAGTTTCACTCGCCAGCTTCACTCGCTGGCGAAGACTGGCCTCGTGCATTAATGCTTGCTGGGGCGGCTCAAGACGGACATGCAGAGCCTCGACTGCGTCTGAAAAGTTTATGTCAGGCGTGTGAGTTAGAATTTCGGTGAACATCTCATGAGCTGTACCAACAAGGCGAGCAGGTAGTAGCCGTAGCTTTTGGTCGTCGTCGTACCCACTCAGCTCGCATGTGTGGACGAGATGCCTCATGTACGTGGTGAAATCTTGGCCTGGCTGATTTCCGAATGTCTCAGGAAGCAAGACTGGCTTCGGCAGTGGACGTGCATGTGGTGTGTCTGTGTCCGGCAAACGAAAACGATGGGACAACCCTTGTACCGGCGAACTCTCGCGCTCTTCAGCAATGCTCATGTCACAGCCAGCTTCAGCGAAGCTACGCTCTAGCTTTTCTTGTCTCTTGGATTTCGCTGAACGGCCCATTGTGAAAAAAAAAAATTTTGTATTTTTGAATTTTCGAAAAAAAATATTATCTGCAAAAATTTCCCGTGGACTCGATCGACTATCGATCTCAACGTAACCTATCGTGCGTAGCGGCAAACAACTAAATTTGGCAGAGACAATTCCAAATAGGCAACTACATGTACTCTACGGACACAGTGTAGCTAGACTCTACTACCCAGCTAGCAGATATCCTAACAAGACACTAGACGGCAGCCAGTATGCACAAAACACGGACACAGAAAATGTTCCGAAAATGTTTGGCCAGACAGGTTGGCGCCAATGCTTGACCTATGGACTCTGTAAACCATGGTAAACAATGCATGCAACAAGAAAACGACGAGCAGAAAGAAACACAATGCAGAAAGGAAAATATCGACGAAGAGAGTGGATGAGGATATGGTTTCACTTGCGTGGGCCTTCGGCGATCTCCGAAGGCGTACATACTCCGCCAGCGATGTAGTGGTGGACGTTTTCCGCTGCCACCAGTGTTAGCTGCTCCCGGCTAATGATGCCCCCTCACACCGGAACACAAGGGGTTTTATATGATTGGATAATTTATAGAAGTATTCGAGAAGAGTGTAGACAAGGAGAACAGGACAACGACCACTCAAGACTAGACTACAACAGAACAGAACCTGGAGCATGCGCTCTTCTATGTGAGTGGCTCATTGCCAAGGGGAACGAGCGGGAAATACAAATAGTGAGTATTCAGGTCGTAGCATACATACACCTATTACACATGTCCCCAAAACAGAAGAGAGACAACACTTACTGTTGCAAACAGGCAAGGTGGACCAACTCTTGCTGGCCATACATATGACCATTGAGTTGCCCGAGAGCTCAAAGCCGGCATTACATGAGACACTGCGGATACTGTTAACTTTATTTGAGCCGCTTGACACAGTTGCATTGGAAACAACCAGCACAGGGCATTCTGGTAGTAGTGGTACTCCTTTAAGTCGACAAAACAAGAACAAGACAAACAGGTCGTTGGGAAGTATTAGATTAAGAGGGATATATGAATGTCACACTTTTCTACTCGAATAGTAGTAATGACTCGGCACTTACGGTTGCAAATCGGCAAGGAAGACCATTTCAAGCTGTCCAGACATATGACCACTGCGCTTCCTGAGAGCTCAAAGCCTGCGTTACATGTGATGTTGACGATGCTGTTCACTCTATATGGGCCACTGGATACAGCGGCATTGCCAATGGTTAGCGGAGCGCATTCGGCCAACTCTGTACCAAAGAAAAAGAAAGTTATGTAAATTTACATAACATATGCATTATAAGTATGAACAGACACTGCGTTTTCACACATTCACGCATTTATGCCAACTTTCAACAAGTAATAAAAACTTTCAGCAACATTGTTGGCTCTCAATTTCAAATGGACCCATGCATCGATTTTATTTTGCACCGCGCTTGCTTTTGATGGTCTGCAAAATTGAAGATAATGAAGATACTGTGTGACTTTGCCGATCACTCGCAGGTAAGCAACAAATCCAGTGAAATCCAGATGTAGTGTTGCGCAGTGATATCACTGACTAACACTACATCTGGATTTAACCTTTTGCGCCCTGGTGCTAAATCCCCTGATTCCTGCCACCGGCCGCCCTGCCATTCGCAATAGTCCCAGTATGCATTTGAAAATTATCTAATTTCACTCACCAGTTTCGTAATTATTTCTTTTTGGTCGCATTGGAAAGCTACAGATGTTCTCTCTCTGATTATCGCCACTAGACATCCGGCAGGAGCAACAGAATCGCCTTCAAGCCTGTTGAGAGCTGCCCTATTGCGCCTGAGCGAGATTCTGTACCCACCTCCACAAATTTTATCGTTTCTCAATTTTTGCTCAACGTAGAACGATGATTCAAAGTCCTGCAGATTCATGAAGCTCATGCGATTCATTTGATCTCTACTTCGCATGCGCTGTGCAGCGATGAGTCACTGAGAAAGTCTCCGTTTGAGGCACGCCGACGCACTTTGAAGCGCTCTGCATACAAATTTTTGAAACAATTTCAAGCGTATCCGTGTTTCGTTCTTCGATACTCAGTGATGCCGCACCGACATACCACTGGAAAGCTTATTCTCTCACCTTTCCAATGAGCCATCATTCGCGACAATCGGATACAGGACAATGGAGTTGCGACAATTTGAACAGTGATGTATATGCACTGTACAAGTATGCGCTTTTACTTGACGCACATATGCGGCATCAGGAAATCAGGGTGTGACGTTTTGACCCACATGTGCGGCATCAGTCCGGAAAGGGCCAGAGCATGTCTAGGTAAATTGAATAGTCAAACGAGCGGGTCTGTTTTATCAGTCTAGTACACATTCAAAAACATATACGCATACTGATGGTCACAGTGAAGACCTTTCCCCCTTTCTAATCCGTCGCAAGGAGGAGAAATCGATTACGGGCATGAATGCACGCACACACAAGCAAATACAATGTGGGGTCACCTGTGTGATATATAATTATTTTTGGAGGCTTTGTCACCATTGTGAAAAAGAGGTTGGTACGACTTCGGTGATACTTTTGACACTATTGCTATCCTAATGCCATTACATTTTCTAGAGGACACGGAAAGCCATGCAAAGGAAACATTAATCGATTTCCGTATATTATGTAAATTTTTAGTAGCTGCATCTGTACCTTGATTCTTGAAGCTGGTCTAAGGGTTCAATCACATTGAGGGAACAATCCTCAGATCATAAACCGGAAGTATTTTTTCTTCCTACTTTTCATCACGGCTTTACTGGATACGCACAATGAAAACAATCTGACCTGCACAAGCTACTTTTTGGCGCCATTCGCTTCTGGCAGTCTGTCAACGCCGCTCATGGGCCAGAGCTGCATCAGGCCAGATCTAGGGTATCACTCCACTTCATAGCGCAATAAAAAAAAAAAGGAAACTCAAAGAAAGCCAGTGGAAGTTAGGGCACACTGAGGGAAAATTTGCAAAGAACGTGGTTACCATGGATATTTACCGCTGAGCGGGACATTTGAGAGTTTTAATCCACTCGATGCAAGTCAACTCAGGGCCTCGCTTTTCCACCTAAGATTATAATCATCCCTGGCGAGATCAATGGAACCGGGTAAAAAAGATAGGGCTTTATCCTTGTACCCTGCATCCAAACCAAACCTTCGCATGGAGCATGTCAGGTTGTGCCTTTCATCCATTTCGGCCAGTTTCACTATCCATGACAAGGCAATCGGTCCCTCAGGTTTATACCCTTTCTCTGTAGCGCCCCACCATAAACACCTTGGCATTGTCATAGATTCCGCCCTCTCTTGGTCTCACCATGCTGATCATGTGTCGCCCAAAGTATGCCGATCGGTCGGAATAATGTCAAGTCACTTGTCCCATTTGCCCCAAAATTGCCGGATTAATTTTTATAAATCATACATTCTTCCACTCTTCACGTACGGCTTCCCTGCCTGGTCCACCATTAGCAAAACCCACATAGGTAAATAATTAGAAGTTCTCCATCGCCGTAAACTGCGCACCATATTTCTAACTGATCGTTATATCTCAAATCTAGACTTGTATGCTGCTGCATCCACTACCACTCTGCAACACTACCTTGATGCTTCCAAGTGCACCCTGGCACCTTCAATTTTTCTTGACCAGCACTCTACTCATTTACAGTCCCCTAATTGGTTCAATTCAGGTGGCACCACCCAAAGCTGCGTTCGTCTCCCCCTAGCTAGGTTTATCCTTTGCGTAAATTCCCCTTTCTTTTCCTCCTACTCCACGTGGCTCCAACTGCCTCCCAGTGTTAGACAAGGTCCAGATCTGCCCAAATTCCGTACCCTCATCAGACAGCACTTCAGTATCTCCCAGTAAACAAAGTCACAGTCCCCATTTCCGGTGCATAGCTCGATGAGCATCCCATTGCTTTGTAAGTTGCTAATCCCTTCCCACTTTGTGTAGGTGCTCTTCATTTGTTTTTTCTCTTCTTCCGTGGTCGGTCTCACCTCCTCAATTGAATTGGCTGTCTTAACATGCCACGAGGTGCAGAAATAAATAAATAAATGCATACTAAATTAAATTAAGGCCCCAGCACATGGAGGATCATACCCAGTGTCATGCGAGAATATTTACTAATCCTGATGTGATTGAAAGGTGAGAGTGGAATGTCCACAAGCACTTACTGGAACAAGTTGGAAACGGGGCAGACCAAGATCCATTCAAAAGACAGACCAGTTGTGAATCCCCCGACAGGGTATATCCATCAGTGCAGGAGAATGTACGTTTGGCCTGGAAATCCACTGTTCCAGGAGATAATATTGCATTGGGTGGTGTAGCCAGCACTGGGCAGGTGATCTCTGCAAGTTGATACACACAATATATAGTGTTGCTCAATGAAATCCAGTCACACCACTCAAGTACGTGCCTGCGGGGTGCAGCCCCTGCGAACACTGTGCTGCAGAATAATACAAGGAGCAAACCTGAATGACACGACTGGATTTCACTGAGCACCACTGTATTTTGTTTTCCAGAATCGCCATATCAATGACCCTACACCTGACACCATTCCAGAAAATCTAGTTTGGTTACGCCACTCAATTTAATCTTTGAAATCATACATTCATTTTTACATACATGCCACAAACCTCATCCCCACAGTACCGTAAAATTCCGCCAAAGACCGCCTGCATCATTCACATTCCAAGTATTGCAACTGGACACGATATAGGTGATTATGGGAACCGATGGGACTTTCTGACGGCGCCTGATGTGAACACTTGAAATGAGAGCGCTATTGTACTACCGTGCATCATTGGAAGAGAAATAATTTAAAAAAAAAGCAAGGTAAGCTCGAAAGTCACTCTGTCACGGACCATGATCGATGATTCAGGCCGTTCGACGTTGAACATCGCAACAACTGCTACATGTTCTGTTATGCAAACCGTGCAATATCTTCCTCATAATCTCATCAAACCGAACGGATCCTTGCATCCTGTACTGTGACAGTTGAATCGAATGTCAACTACTTCGAAGTAGGCTTAATTTAGAACCCTTTTTAAATATCCACGAATGGTGCCAGTCCTACACTTTTCAGGTGTACTTCCTGCATACGAAAAAAATCTCTATAAGCTCCTGGTATCTAGTAGCCAGAGTACATAATCAGACTCAGTGCTGATCAGAGGAGGCGTCAGGGGGCGAGTAGGCCACAAGGACGCCACCCACATTTCTGCCGGTAGAAACCTACCATGGTGTGTGGTGTCCCCACCCATAGATCGAAAGGGAGAGCCCCAAGAAGGAGGTGCATTGTAGATGACGAGGCATTTTTGGTTGATGTCAAAAATTCAAACGTTTGTTTGGTCGCACATTCAGGAAGGCACCCATTGATATGGTGAATAATGCGTTTAGACACGTTCTGTCAAAGTTACCTGTTAACATCGGGAATCCTGGCGTACGTTAAATTCCCCTTTGATCTTCAACTTGCATTTCTTGGGCTTTTTATTGTTGTAGGTGATTCAGGGTGAATTAACTCGGTCTGTATCTTGTTGTGACTGACACCGGGTAGTCTTTGAACCTGCTCTCACACTAGTATAATGTTAAGAAAAGTGTAACATTATGTATCGAATAGTGCTTGTTACCTACTTGTACATCTTGGACTGATTGCAGACCAGGTCTGATCGGTGAGACACGTAACACTGGACACACCCGTCAGCTGATATCCAGCAATGCAGCTGAAACTTGCCTTTGAACCGAAAGTCGTGTCATCCATGTATACATATCCATTGCTAGGGGCTGATAGACTCCAGCATGTGTTTGCTGTGGACATAAGGGCAATGAGATATAATTATCTAGAGACTTGTATAGATAACAAGAAACTTCACATCTCAGCGGAACGCGTTATTGGCCTTTTCTCTGTTCCATGTACTTGAAGTATGCACCATCGCATTTGAATTGCTGACCCCAAATTACATTTCCCAAATATCATTACCTGTGCAATTTGGAGTTGCTGTTGACCATGTACCGTCAGCCTGACAGACAGTGTACCTACTTCCACTGAGGGCGTTGCCTGGGTAACAAAAAAATCCACGCACTGTCAAATATGTGGTCCCTCCCATTTCTACACCACCGTTTGTTAGTGATGGGATCGGTGCCGAGCACAGAATTCCTGTTGAAGACGAAAAAGCAATGGGAAAGCAATCATGGAAGTTCTTCATGTGATCACCCACGCACCCATGAAATACGACATCAGTAGCACCACCCATTCGCAAATAATGAACAGAAGTAGAAAAAGCGTCGCTGCAGCACCCTGTCATCTCCTTCATTCGCTCTCCTGTTGTGCGAATTTCGATTTGTTGGATTGCCCAGGGCCTTGCATTTCATCAGTCACTCTCTACAGAATATAAGTACCAGCTAAATGCGAAGAATAGTAGTGCGGGGAGTATGGTACTCACTTGTACACATTGGATTGGCAGTTGACCAAGACCCATTGGCTTGACATATTGTGTATCTGGTACCACTCAATTGATAGCCTTCCATGCAACTGTACTGACGCACTGATGCAAATGTATTAGCACTGCCGGTTACAGCACCATTTCTCGGTGTTGTTGGTGGAGATGTGCAAGTGATCTCTGCATATAGCAACCACACCCACAGACACTCGGATATACATGTACAACAAAAGAATGGTAACCACCATTCTGGAGCTCTTTACAAGCACAACATGCTATGCAGAGTAGAAGTCCAAGCATATTGCAACAATTTCCAACTTTCAGATAGCTATCATAGCAATGGGATTAAAATTCAGTCATGACAACATACAATTAACTTCCTCCAATCACGTCAACGGAAAAGCTATGTAAACATCGCCGAAGTCTTTACCACTATTTTCTTTACTCATGTTATGATATTGAACCCGATCTTCCTACAAAGTGCATACTGTCGGGAATACACGAACCAACAGTGTGCAACTTATATATTGAGCTCTGATTGGTCCACCCATGGCAAAACGTTTGATAGCGTTCTTCTTAGGGAGAAGTACGGGAAAGCGTCGCGGAAGCACCTCGCCATCTCCTTCATTCGTTCTCCTGTTGTGCAAATTTTGATTTGTTTTAATGCTCAGGGCCTTGCTTCTCGTCAGTCACTCTCTACAGGATACTAGTACCAGCTATATGCGAAGAATAATAGTGTGGAGAGTATGGTACTCACGTGTGCACATTGGATTGGCAGTTGACCAAGACCCATCGGCTTGACATATTGTGTAACTCGTACCACTCAATTGATAACCTTCATTGCAACTGTACTGACTCACTGATGAAAATAGATTAGCACCGACGGTTACAGCACCATTTGCCGGTGCAGTTAATGGAGAAGTGCATGTGATCTCTGCATATAGCAACCACACCCACAGACACACAGATATACATGTACAAAGGATGGTAACCACCATTCTGGAGCTCTTTACAAGCAAAACATGCTATAGAGAGAATAAATCCAAGCAATTCAATCCTGACAAACAAGCAACCTGAACAGATTATATTCTTAATCCGACTTATTAAAATGTTCGTTTCGCTTCGAACGTCAACCAAACAAATTCAAGTAATCTCAGGACGGAATAAACATTTCAGCTCCCTAACACTATCCTTCAATTGTCAGTTTGTGATGTTGAAGAAGAAAATGGCTCCGACTCCTAAGGAGGCAGCGGCTCATGATCCTAGTCGACTCGAGATTTTTGCGTCCAACATTTGTCATCAGAGGAGTCCTGTTGCTTCTCGCGCAACACAGAGAAGGCATGGTGCTGAAATCAACACCCCACTGCGGTTTGTGATTGTCACTCAGTACCCGAAACTCCTGGGCGATCGTTCTCGAGTGCTTCCTGGCGGATTGAAATCGCCTGGCAATCGTTGTTTCCATGGCAGAATTTCAGCAAATGCGTCATCCAGAAACTCGTGCACTATAAATAAAGTATACAACAACAACAACAACAACAAAGCATCACAATCGCTCCGTCCAGTTTGCTGATCTCTCTCGCAGTCGTTCACGATGTGGCGGCCGCTGAATCAAGATCACAGAAGAGATCGTCGAGAAGTTGATCGAAATAAAAAAACGGCCTTGAGGTCGACCTTCAGCCGCCAACCTAGCTGGAAAACTGAAGAGCAGAAAGGGTGAATTATCAAGCGGATACGGTGTGGAGTCCTCGGACCCGCGATCTCAATGCGTCAGCTCGACCAAGCCGATGCAGGCGATAGACAACAATCAGGGCAGATCGACGTGGCCTCTGGCTCTGCACAGCACAAAACCCGTACCCGTACGGACGACCCCGGCTTGGTCGATCCTGCGCCTGTGCAATCAAACTGCGAGAAGAGCCAACCTATCCTGGCCGTCATCAAGGATGTGTCGAACAAAATCCCCTAACTCAATGCATTAGGTCGATCCAACACACCGACTATTCTATGTCTGACAGAAACCTGACTCTGCCCGAAAACATATGCTCAGTGTACCCGGTACATGCTTCCGTCGAGATAGGCCAATACCAGCGAACCAAAGGGCCCAGTTCCGAGATTATGGTGATGTTGCCATTCTTTGTACGAAATTGGAAATTTTGCATGCAGCCCAGCGCTCAGACCTTGACTCTCCCCAATGCGAGACCACTTGGGTTAATCTTGGAGTTCCTGCAGACCTGGTTGCTAATCCCATACTCATTTGCTGTCAGTATCGCCTTCCTTGGCAATCCCTACCTGAGCGTACCTCATCTTGTGAAATGATGTCGGATACTCTACGGTCTGTAGAAATCTCATCCGTTGGTATATTCCTCACTGGTGACTACAATGCTCACACCTCTGACTGCTGGAACGGTGACCCTACATCACGCGCTTGAAAGGAACTTTCGCATAATGTTCTCTACCTTCGGTCTCCCCAGATGGTAGACTTTCCCACTCACACCTCTCCTAATGGAACCCTGTGGTGCCTAGACTTGCTCGCTACTAATCATCCCCAACTTTTCTGATGACGATGCTGCCCCGCTTGGTGCGTTCGACCATTCACTGATAGCTACCACCCTTTTCGACACAACTGTAACCCGAACGTCTGCAGGTAGGGGCCGGCGGATTCTGCTCAAAAAGGTGGCAGATTCTGCTCGAAAAGCAGTAAAATTGGCAGAACCATACAAACCTTATGGCGGGCAATTCCTCGAATTTTGCTCCATTTCTTTATCCACATACCAAACATGCACGAACCTTACCAGAAAAAGTACCGAATTCTGCCGGCAGAATCCGCTGGACCCTACCTGCAGGGAAAGTGCCATGCTATCCTGCATGTAGTTCGACAGCTAGATACAATTTTGCGCAAGTGCCACCTTCTGTCTGGGTAGCAGTAAATATGTATCTTTCCTCGCTCAACTGATCCCATGGACACACCAGATGTTGACAATGCATTAGCCAGATTCTCCTCTTCCTTAACACTAGAACTATCAAAACTTCAAATACCCTAGAATTACCGGAGGCATTATATCAACCCACCGGACTTTAACATCCCAGTTTTTATATGTGGATTGGATTGGATTTTATATTATAGTGGTGACTATAACAGACAACAGTAGAAATAGGTTTTTCACTTGACTCGACGAGACCACACGACGCTTGCAGATCACAGCACGAACAGTTCACCAGCCACACTCCGCGAAAGCAAGTAGTAGTATTCATGACAAGTCTTGTTTCGTTCCATGGATATAATAACGGGGAAACGTGTCCCAGAAACAATAGCTAATGAAAACAGGCGAGCGACTCATTGAGTTATTTCTTGAAATAGGGAATCTTAGTTTATTACGACTTAACGAAGAGGAGTTAACCCAGTTAAGCGCATTTTGAATATGCATTGGGGCCTTCAGCAGTTTAATCTGATGGATAAATCTACAGCAGAGTTTGCTAATTATGGTTTGTAAAGGACAGGTTTTGCATTGGGGATATCGAATTGTTAATGGGGTGTCAAGTGGTAAGCGAAATATCGCTCTCAAAATCCTGCCATGCATTAGTTCAACCCACGTAAGCATTCCTGTTCCAGCACTGCACCACACAATGCTACAGTATAAAATGATGAGTAAGATATAGGAGGCGTAGAAAGCCCGACGACATACTAGTGGTAAATGGCTCATGTGACTGCATAGAACACCAACAGCCGAACTTGTCCGGCGCTCGAGATACTCCAGATGATGGGACCAACTCATGCCTGAGTCGAAGATGACTCCAAGGTGTTTGTGGCGGCTAACAAGTGGGATGGGCGTCCGGTCGCTTAGAGTAAGTCCACAGTTGTGAAGCTTAGGAATGTCGACCAAACATCGTTCTTCATCACCAGAAAATTAAAAAAACTAAGATCTTCAAATGCAGAGAATTTGAATACTAATCACACCTGATGTCATCAAAACTATCAAAAGAGGAGACAAACTTGGCCCTCCCTGGCTTAATTATATCGACTTTTTGGGTCTAGTTTTCGTGATTCCCCATGTCTTGAGAGCCATATAAGGCCACCATGAAGAGAACACACGACCGAAAAATTCCCGGAGTGCCCCTTTAACCCAGGTAGGCTTGCACGAATGCTAAAGCGAGCTTTGCGTTCAGTGTACGATACTGGTTTTGGTAGTACATCAAGTCCTTTTTTTGCGAGACTTGGTCTATATTATTTGGCAACCTTATATTGCAAGAAATTACTGTATTTGACGTGGTGCTATTTGGAAGGCCGCTGTTGTGTCACATTAAGTCGGGAGCGCGTAAATAATGGTCTTGCAACGCGCTGCCTTATATCACGCACTCTTAAGTTGCCCATGCTGAGAACTGCCTTTGCCCATCATGGCGCTTCTTTCCAATGTGCTAAGCTGTGTAATGATTTACAACCTCTAGCTTTCTGTGCGGATAACCCCACCCGTTTTTTAGGAAACAGTTACCCTGATCCCTAGCATTTTTACGCTTTTTTATTTTTTAGTGTTTATTTGAAATCGGATAACTCAACAGTACAGAAATACAACTACAAAGAGTACCGAATAGAAGGCCCCGAACGCTAGTACCGAACGCCAGTACTTATGACTTTGAACTATGCAGAATTGGGCGCCCATCTTCTGTTGCCTCAACTATTCGTTCTATCGCGGACATGATCATCTATCCAATAGTCTATTATAGTAATTATTCTTATCTTTTCACATTTTTCTGTCGAGTTTGTCTACTGTTGTCTTAATTCTTTGTTGCCATCTTCAATAGGTCCGTCAAATACAGTAGTAATAGGTTTTTTCATTTGACCCGACGAGACCACACGACGCTTGCAGATCACATCACGAACAGTCCACCAGCCACACTCCACGAAAGCAGAAGTACTCCTGACTAGTCTTGTTTAGTTCCATAGAGATAATAATGGGGAACTCATCAGAGGAGAAGCATTTGTTGAAGGAAGGGGTTTAGCTGAATAATCCTATTTGATAGAAAAGATATTGGCTGGCTGAATTTCAATTATCGAGGTTTGTGAAGTATTTGTCTTGTGCCGCTAGCAATCTTCAGATGTGACGTTAGACGTCTGTGATGATTTGTTGGTTTTCACTTGGCGTCTACTTTTCAACTGTCTTTGTCACTACCTCTGTACCCTTTGAGACGTGTAAACTAGCGCAACCTATTCCTGTGTACCTCTCCTTCTCATTGTGAATGATTTAGCACTTGTGATAGTTGTGTCTGGTAGTTTCAGAACACCTCCATTCTGCACTATTCCTTTTGTGTTGATATGTCACATATGTGGTTTAGTTGAGTGTTAACACAGTAGACTTGGTGGTCAGTAATATGTGGCGTAGACAGGAAGTGCACTTGTGTCTTCCGGGCATTTAGGATTAAAGGAGAAGTCTGGTGAAAAATTTAAATTTCAGGGTCGGTAGAGTTTCGGCCGCTGAGTCGAATGGTGTTGGTCCCTTGTGTCTCCGACAAACCGTCTTCGAGATATTTCCGTTTGAAAAACTGAGTTTCGGGGGCTGCGCCATGACGTCATGCGGCCGCGCCATACCCTCCCCAACGTCATAGCGTGCAGCTAGGTCAAAAGGAGTGCGTGAAATCAATAGTGTCAGTGCTATTTCAAATGATTTGGCGACCCATAGTGGGCGGTGCAACGCAACGACTCCGAAGACGTAACTCCTTGTGAGAGTGAGGATGCAGCCATGGCTGACCTTCATGAGTTCGGTCAGGGGCTGTGAACCTCGGTATTCAGCTGAAGAAATGGCCGCGTGGGCCGGTCAAGAGTGAGCGCTACTGAGTTTCCGACTGATGAAGAAGCAGCAGGTATTGCAGACGAGGATGATATAATTATCAGATCGCTGGAGAGCAGAGTCGCCAAAATGGAGAAGAGTGATGCGAGTG